TTACGATCTTCATACCTAGCCCCCGTGTTCCTACTCCTCCTCTCCGACCCCCACTGTCCCACAGTCCGTACGGATTAATCTCGTTAACGCTTATCCCTGGGTTGCCTGTAGTTGTTTAAGTATGAAATTCGTATTCATTATTCTTCGGTTCATGTTTATGGATTCCCTTTGTGTTACGCGGAGGGATAACGAACTACAGCCTCGATTACTGTTGCGGCAGGTGTCGGTGTTAGTGAAGTCTACACGCAGCGGAGGCAAAGCGATGCTGTAGATTTTAAGGAACAACAGTGAAAAACCTGTTACGTCTAGTTAATTGAAACGTGCAGATTCTCTTGGGGGAGTTAATGGAATTATCGTTTGCCCGGTACCTACAATCTTAACCACTCGGTGTGTTTTTCACGAGAGTCACTTATCGCCTGTACTTTACCGGTGAAATTATGCGGAATCGTTCGGTTACGATGATCACTGATTTCACGGAAATAAACGGAGTAATAGATTTCTCTTGGTTCGTGAGAAAAAAAAAATGACCGTTATTATTTTACATTTGATGCTTGCAAGTCACGAGGCGTTACAGAGGGTTAAATCGACAGTGAAGCGGTAAAACGCTGTAAAACTGAAGTTTCGATAAAAGGAGGAAGATTCGAAGGAAGTCGTATTATATCTCAGGTGTCGAATAACCATCGTCTGTAAAATTTCCATCGAAATAATAATTGAACGTTGAATTCCGAAGGGGGTACAGGGCAAAAAGACGTCGTAAAGATTCACTTATCGCGAGGAATCACTCGCGTCTTCCAATCTCCCGACGACTGTGTGCTACAGACATCAAAGTACTCGAGCGTTCCGCGAAAGAATCCTGAACGAGACTGATACGCGAAAATATGCCCCCTGAGGTCGTAACTTACGCACCGTAGCCTGTGAGAATCCACTTTTACGGAAGCCGTTATATTTTTATTCGCTGGGCTGTCGCGTTCTCGGCAGTGCCAGGCCGCGCGACATTATCTTAACAACCGAGGAGGGGGCACAGGCTCGTTTTATTGCCGAATTTTGCTACGTTCCTTCGCGGCGTTCGTCGCTAACAGAAAAGCCTCGGGAGGAGAAGAGAACCGGTAATTTTAAAGGGACCAGACGAACGACAGAAACTCGTTTGCCCGTGTAATTACTCATGAGCCCTCTCGGAACATTCACCGACGAGAAAATACTTCCACCCGACCGATGACAATATATCTTAATGCATTCGCGAACGAAGAGTGGGTGTCGCCAAACAGGTTAATCACGAAAGAAAATCCTCCCCGTTAGGCCTTTCGCCTTTTCGCTTCCACCCTCTTTGCTACGAGTTCCTCGCGAAATTTATCTTACATCCTCGAATTTCCTCGTGCAAGTCAAATATTTGCGCGGTAATTTATTTAAATTTACGGAAACTTCGGGAGCACCTTTCGTGGATACTTCTGAACACCCGGCAACTCTGATAAGGGAGGTAAGAATTTACGAATAGATGAATTTCAAGGAGGAAAGGGGAGGGCAAATAGAAAACGAGACGACACTCGACGTGATTACGTCGAACCTTTTGATTAATCGGAGCGAAGACAAAATTTACGAACGATACCTTTTCCTCTATCGAGTCGCGTGAAAATTAGACAGATCTGTTTATCAGTTTCTCGTTAATTAGACTGATTTGCTAAAAATCGTCGAAAGCCAATTGAAATGCCCCCCTGCGCAGCGTCGATTTGCTCACGAACACGTCACACGAAGTTAGAGGTTAAACAGCGAAATTAACGACGGAGGCGGTGTCGCGCGATTTATAGGCTAACGCGAAACTCCATGATACACTGCACGTCCGTATTTGCCTGCGTGCACCTGTACCCCTTCTCTCGCGGCCGGATAGGAAGTTCCGGAAGGAGCAGGTAAGACAGAAGAGATAGACTGGGACCCCGGTTTGTACAAACCTCCAAGTGTACCCGCGAACTTCCATCGTAAGTTCCACCCCCCAACCACACTAAGTCCTTCTCGCATTCTGAAGTTGGATAGTCTCCGAACTAGTCGCGTAACTTGAGTTACGCACTAAATACATAATAACAATGCTCGCATAAAGCCTGCCTCCGGTACACGACCGCACCTCCATCTGGCCTCATCCTGCGCGCACACGCACACCCTCTCTATATAGTCCCGTTAGATTATGCTAATCGAGAGAAGGAAATCCCGCTAGAGCGGGAAGGAACGAAACGTAACGCTTAAAATTCTCCTCGTCTCTTGTTCCTTAGGGGGCTTTAGCGGTCGACGCGTACACTCATACGTGACTCGTATCGCAAGATGATCTTTTATCTTTCTTTCTTTTTATTTTCTGCACCGTGGAAGAAAAAAAAATTCGCCATACGCGACAAAATACGAGGTGTACGTATAGGTGTAGAGGTTGGATACGTGTACACGTTAGGTGGAATAAATCAAACACAACCCCGCGGGAAACGTTTGTCATGCAAGGGATCTGTTTGACTGGCGCTAGCTAACCTTGCGGATTACCAACTGGGGTACCGGGGTTCATCGAGTTGCTCTGTTTTCGGCGGTAAATTCTTGGCTTGAGGGGATTGAAGAAAAAGCTGGTTAATCGAGACTGCTCTGATCTCGGTGTGACTAAATTTTGAATGTTTGTACAATTATAAGATATCAAAATATGCAAAATGTATGAGAGAAACGTTGAAATCGTGAAAAAATGAACCACATTTTTATATCTTATTGCAAACGAAAGTTGAATGCAAAATAATGAGAGCTGGAATTCTTTAAAAATTGGTTGAAGTATTATACGAAGTCTTCTAAGAGTTATTGCAAATCATTTGCTTGAATTTGATTGATTGATGAAATTTGATTAATAAATCTGCAGCGAAATTACTACAGCAACCCTAGAACGCAATCACGTGGGATTTCTATGGAATAATCCTACAATGCAAGGTGAAAATTCACGCAGACCACGCACCCTTCTCCTTTAATTTGGAATCTGTAACAGAGAGACTGGTCCGCGATACGCCACTGAAAGCGAGGGTGCTTTCTGAAGAGGACATTCGTAACACTTGTCGCCGCAGCAGCTGCCAAGAGGGAGTTATTGCTCTCTCATAACAACGGCAACAGGGGTGGAACTTTTCCAACGGCGTACCGTCAACGGGAATCAGACGCTCGGCCAGCGTCGGTCTTTGAAAGCGCGTCAGCTCTTTATCAAAGCTAACAAGAAGCGTCGACTGCCGCGTCGCTCCTAACCGAGTGGCTGTCGCACGAAAAATCCATCTTCCTACGTGGCTGTCGGCACCGAATGCTCATAAATACAACCGTGGACCCTCTTATCCTGTTTCGTCTATCCGAACCATTTGCCGCAGCATCGACAAAAAGAAAAAGAAGAAACGAAACGAGGAAGTTCCTTAATTTTCTTGATTTTTCCAAGTCGAACGA